AAACACCTAATATATATAGTGTATGAAATATCTAACATGATACATTGCCGGCTTGTAGCCTAGGGTTACCTACAGATTAAAAACAACCCACATGAAATATCTAACATGACTCATAACTGACCTTTTTTTCAGCCAACTTCGTTGAAATTATGTCAAAAATACATATGTTTTGGGCCCAAAATGTACATTTTACTGGGCTTATTAACCCAAACTAAGACACAATAGGCGATACTCAAAAGTTCAACCAGAAGGGAAAATCATGCAAAAATATCATGGCCTTATTTGCATGATAGATGATAAAATGCTTTAAGAGCCTTCTTTGTTTCGATAAGGCTTTACAGCTTTGAGCAATTTTTGATATTCGATTAGAGAAGATCATCACCTGATATGATATACGAAAATGAGGACCTTATTCGCAAAATCAATGGGATACCTTTATGATACGCCACCCCTAAATGTTAACATCATTTGGCGAAGGTATGAGATAGTGGAACTCTTGATAACTTCCCGCACCCACCACCGACAATGTCGTCCAGGCTGTGTTTAGCACCACCGTGGCAATAAGGATTCACACGCATTGTTCTACTTATACTGGTTTTCTTGTATTGGGAAACCTATGCCATGCCATTAAGGTTTTCTGCAAATATGCACACTACCAAAAATGCTTTTTTCTTGTTTTCCTTGTACAAAGAAATGGTATCATGTAGCAAGAAAATTATTCAACAAATTATTTGAACAACAAATTAAAGAATCCCCATAGCATGTGTTTCTTGAGTTTCTTGCTTTTGCAAGAAAACGATTCTGTCCACAAGAAAATATTTCTTGAACTAAGAGCTAACTGTTCTTGAAGGAAGAAAGCCATTCTGTACACAAGAAAAGATTTCTTGTAGCAGAAAAAATACTATAAACTTTCTTAAGACTCTAAAAATTCTTGTTGGTGAGCATGATAGTAGAAATGTTTTCTTTTCTTAAGAAAAAAGAAGAATGAAATTCTTTGTGTAAGAATCAACATACAAAATCGTTGAAGAATGTTTCTTGAATTTTCTTGAAAATCCCCCTGGCAAGACAATATCTCTCAACATAAGAAAAATAAGAAAAAACATTTGCAGCAACAACGAAAACGACGGAAACTACCGTACAATTATTGAGATTATGGGCTGTAATTAAGCGAATTGATTGGGTGCATAAAGTGCGGTAAAATTAAAGGCAAGAAGAATACTAGTAAAAAATAGGCAAAGTTTTCCACTCACCGCTGTAGTGGTGCCCAGACGCGGCGTCGGATCGGTGGCTGGAAGACGGAATGTCACAGACCAGAGAAGAGCCGTCTTTTATAGCAGAGGCACCGAGTGCTACTGAATAGCGGTTGGAGCTAAGAAACCACGTC